AAAATACTCAGTATAATAGCATTAAAGCAATTCTCTGTATTCATGAATGCTCGAGAAGTTCAGCACAAGTCATTCCTAATTGAGAATGATCCAGGTCTTCCGAAAAATATTATAAACTTTTTTAACGTGAATTCGTCACTTAATGTGATGAATTCTAAAGAATAAGAAAAGGTTTTAAAATCTGTTATATTTTTGCCGACTTAAATTTATCGTTTAAAAAGATTATCAAAGAGTCCACCACGTCAGTGTCTTTTGTCAAACGTATTTTAATCATGATTTTTTTCAGTGTTATTTCTCCGTCTTCTGTATTACTACTAATCTGATGGCGGGCGAAGAGCATTGACCCAACCTCCCAATAAAGTACATACGTTGCTTTAATAAATTAATTTTCTTTCTTTTTCAAATTCTATTATTACTTTGCAGATTCTTTTGATATCAGTAAAATGCCTTTGATATCATAAAATGCCTGCCGTAAAACTTAATAGAGTAATGTTTATTGTATTTTTAGAAAGTCATTTTTTCATTTCTATTTTTCTTATCTTTCTGTTTTTAACCTTAACATAAACAGAAAAAAATACTTATAAAACTTGGAATCGAACAATTAATTACTGCTAAATATAGGATTCTCACTGCACAACTGAAAATGCTTATTACACGGCTTGTGGCCAGTTTTATGTTAGAATATGCACTGAGTGTAAGCTAATATAAGTCTACTGAATCAATTTGTCAATTTAGATTATTAAGATAAAATTAAAATTCTTAAAATATGTAACATTTTTATTATTTATGCTTTAATGCATTTCATTGTTAATTATTCGCAATTGGTGATTAAGAAATTGTTTTTGAATAACAGCAACAACAACGAAAATGGAAATATTGTTCGAAAAGCAATTCGTATTTGCATTAGTCGCAGTGTTTTTAATCNAAGTAGACAGCATATTTTCTAATGGTAGCTCTAACAAATTGTTCCATACACGACCGAATATGAAACGGTAATCTGCCAACTAATCAAATTTTGTGAGTAATGGACCAAATATTTAAACTCGGCACCATGGAAAACTACTTAATTTCCTATTCGAATGCCACGATACCGCTGGGTCCTATAGAAAGAAGAGTGTTGTTGAACGGGGTCGAAGTAATTCGACTGAAAATAGTCGTTAACCTCCTCCTGGAAGAGAGAATGCTCAACGACTACTAAGTAATACCGGTCTACTATTAATATTTGAAAAGTGATTCGTTTTAGACAGTTTGTGGACCCCGTATGTGACCAAAGTGGCTAATTTTAACGTCGAAATGCATTCATATGACTTGTCAAAATGCAAGAATAATTGATTTTATATGATAATAAAGTTTTAAAATTTTGGCAACAGATTGAATAAAATACGTGAGAAGTATGTTCTCGTAAATACTGCGATTATACAAAATTATTGAGCTGAAATTTGAATAATCATAGATTTTACGATTTTTCAAATTTCAGCCCAAACGTTTACGTCTTCAAACTGTAAATTATTTTTGAGTACCAGCGAGCATTGATGCATAGCTCAGGTGTCATAAATCGGACCCCTCGCTGTGGGATCGAATCAAAAAAGATAAGTTCAGTGAATTCTCTCTAGTCATTTTTGGCAAAGCGCAGAGCCCAAACCGTTAGGAGTTGAAAGTTGAAATTTGGTACACATATAGGGTACGTCACGAAAACGCGCACTTTAGTTTATTTATAATTTTTCTTAATAAACATAAAAATATATATAAATATTAGGTATTACAGGAAGGCCATAATTAAACTGACACTACTCAAAGCCGTCTGTAGTACCATCTAACAACAAGAATAACACCAAATTTGATACAGGAATAGGAAAAAATGTGGCGCTGTGCATTATAAAACGGAGTTAATACAGACAGACATGCGAATAATAAACAATAAACACTAAACTTAAATGGGATTATTGCAATTCATTCAGCACTATCATTTTCCTAGCTTCACCGTTTTTGCTGACCTGTGTACAGCATTCTTTACAGCATGTCTGAATATCTATCAAAGTAACATACACTCACAACATTCAGTAACATGTCTGAATATCTATCAAAGTGAATCGTTCTTTTATTAACTTTGTGATCCCGTTAAAATAAACTTGCACTCGAAGTAACTGCACAGGTAGAAGTTTCATGGGAAACTAAAAAAAGCACCTAATGACTTTCTTCTGCGATATCATAGAAGCTGGAAGGAGCGATGTGGAGCAGTCATAATTTCTTGACGTCGCTGATCACGTTCAGATATAAATGGATAATCTTTAGCAAGACTTTCCATACCGTGCCATAGTAGCTTGTTAAATTAAGGTCGATGCTACTACCAGTACTACGAGTTCCGCAAACAATCGCATCGCAGTTGCAACTTCTTTATTTGCCTCTTGTCGCGCTCGTTTCATTTCTCCACCAGGTCGAACTTGTACAGATCCTTTTACTTAAGGCTTTTGGATCATCGATTTCATTGCTTTATTCAACAGCATTATACGCAGTTCGGACCGGTTCTAAACTGACAAAGAGCAATGTATTTACAACGCAACGCATTTTTTCTTCAATAAGTCCGATGTCGTGACATCAGACTTACCCAGTTATGCATATTTAACACAAAGCAAACACAGTCGTGAGATTTTGCAAATACAGTCTGCTCCGAAACGACGAAGCTACTTTCAAAAAATGATAGGTAAATTGCATCTCATGTAGCTATATAAGCCTATGTGTGAAAAGAAACAACAGTACAGTATACAGTTATGAAATCACCTACAAAATAAGAAAAAAAATTGTCAAACTGTAAATAAGAGCCACAAATAGAAGTCTTTGACATGAGCTAAATACATGACATGAAATGAATTAATAACTTCAACAAATTATATAGAGCAATGAAAAGTTCTTCAACAAGGATGGGCCAGACTTCTGGAGAAGCTATTGAGATGATATTAGGAAAAAATGAATTAATTCATTGAAGACGACAGCAAGGTAGTCGAAGTATTATGGTATAGATGCATTTCGATCTAATGGTATGACAAATGTAGCTTTTTACCTCTGGTCTTATCATTGCTGTAGTATATCAGCAAGTGCTAGATAGTATTTAATTCCATTTGCAAAAGAAATTGCGTAGAAATGTTTTCAATTTTAACAAGATAATGCATCTACTCATAATATAAAATTATCTTGGGAGTAGTTTTTGGCAAATGATATGTCATGGACTGGTCCCCATGATCCTCTCATGGTAATGCTATAGAAAACATGTTTGCTAAGATACAAGATGTAACATGATACATATTATATGTTGTATTTTAGTAAACAAAGTATATAGAAATGGGAAGCAATAGACATCAGTGGAATCATTAAAATGGCATTAAAACTAATGCTTGGCACAAAATCACAAATAAAAAGATGAAAAAAATCTTAGCAAAACAATGCCACAATTATAAAACTATAAATTCCCACTGTCATGTCTGTCAGTCCTTGCGTAATCTCAACAACAAAGTTAGACGAAATTCAAGACAAGAGGTGGAAAGAGAAGGGGTAGTAAGCCCCAATTAATTATACAGAAACTTCCGATCTAAAACAGAAGTAGGTGAATTCAATTCAAACATTTTCCCCTGAAATGTGTTAGATAGATAACCGTCACTATTTCTAATAGAAAAAGTATGATATACAGGGGCAAGCCATTACTAATTTGAGGTGAAGAGTAATATACTAAATTAAATACATAAAAAATATGATTAAAAGTTTTAGCTCAGCATTGTGACCATTTCACAATATATAATTGCTCGTTGTGTATTTAAAGATACGAATTTAATTGTTATTTGTGAAAAATACATATGTAATTCTTTCTAACATTGAAATAATAATAAAGTATATTTAAAAATAGATTAAAATATGTAATTAAATATGACATTTGTATAATACTGTACAGTATTAAAAGCCAATTCTTGCTATTTATTTTTGTAGATTTTAAAGAATTCTAATTAATTTTTATTTTTGTTCAAATACACGCGCCTTTAACATGAATTTATAACAATCTGTGAAGTATATTAAAATAGTTTCATTTATTTAAGTAAACGTTAAAAATACATTAAGAATTAATGCAGTTATATTGCTGATCGTTTCCAATATCATTATAATTTGTTTTAATTCTTTTAGGGAGTTTAAAATTAAAAATGAAAAATACAGAATTAATTCCAAAAGTCAGTTATTTTTTATTTTCCAGAGTTAATATTTTTACTTATTCATTTTGAAAATTTACTAATTAGTCTAGAAATCCGTATTGCGTTATTACTTTACAGGACATTCGGTAAAGTAGTTGAATAATAAGAAAATATACAGTATATAGCACATTGATTTATTGCAAAATAAATTCTTGGATAAAATTACAAATTATAGTATAAACATAAATGTCATCGAATTATCGAAAAATAACAGATTTAAAATATAAACTTGATAAATATTCCTAATAAAGCAGATCCAAAATATAACCACCCATAACTACTGTATACAGTATTTAGAAACACAAAGCTTAGACAAATATGAATTTTAATTTGTAAATAGAATAGAAACTCTTTTCCCACCCGTACATAGTAATCGCTCGTTTTATCGTGTATAACATCCGAAAATTAAAATGGAACAACACATCCTCATACAATCTAGACCATGCACTCTTCTGTCATCTCTGCATTTGCAAAAAAAATATCTTGGCCGAAAAAATGTGAAATTAATTACGATATGACATATACTATTTCAGAGTAACCACACCTGCAACCAGAAAAAATTTTCTTCTAGGTCATCCACAATCTGGTTTGAGATTCACTTACGCCAACGGTCCATCTCGACCGTGCATCTCAAATCAGAGAGATCACGTTGAAAAGTTTAGAAAAGTTTACTATAATTCAGTAAGTGGATCGCAATTTTTGTTTTATTTACAGAATATCCGTAACTTAACCTAACCTAATTTAACCTAACTTTATGTTTGCCCAAACTTCGTATTCTCTAATTTAATTTAGAAATTGAGTTTCCAATATTTATATATTATTAATAAAAACTTCACACAACGTATATAAGTCTATTATATCATCATAAAATTCAGTCCATTAAATCATTTTAATTTTCAGAAGTAATAGCGATAATGTCACACGCAAACGCCTTAAATCCTCATCGCCGTTTAATATACATTCTTATTCCATATTTTGGTCGCAGAACGACATCTAAACTTTCGAACATCTTGTCGCGAGGATCCAATGAATAAACTCTAAAATTTCGAATGACGTTGGCTAGGACAGTCTTCATCTCCATCGTGGCGAATTTTTGACCTACGAAAATCATATTTTAGTAGAAATACGATAATTGCTTTTAGAATGGATTAATTTTTCTCACCGATGCAATTACGTGGACCGGCAGAAAAAGGTAAAAATGCGTACGGATGACGTTTCTGGAAATTCTCTGGAAGAAATCGATCCGGATGGAAAATTTCTGGATTCTCGTAGACGGTCGGATTGTGATGAAGTGCGTGAATATTTATCATAATGGAAGAGTTTGGTGGTAATATAAAGTCTCCTGCAAGACCAAAATACACTACAAGTTATTATATATTCATAAATTCTTAAAATTAATAGATGCTATATACAATTGCGTATACGGGTACATTTATTCTTACAGTACTTGCCTACTTTCATTTCTGAAACGTTTCTTCTCAGAATTAATGGAACAGGTGGATAAATTCTGTTCGATTCCTAAAATAATAAAAATCCAGCAACGAGTTACCTAACTTTCCAGGCGAGAAATATTTTAAACATGAAACATATTAGCAATAGTTTCAAAAATTGTGTGGCGTCATTCGTTACAAGATATTATTTGAAAAATTAACTATCGTATTATTAATTACTATAAAATGGCAAAAGACTTAGTTTTCAATGTAGACATGAGTTATTATTTGGTAAAGTAAAAATTTCCATGAGTAATCGAAATGTTTTTCTTGAAAAGTTTTAGGAATATTTTACCATTTTTAAGCTTTAAACTGTAAGAAAAAATCGTGTTTTACTCTCAAGCTAACATCCAAAAACACAGAAAAATGTCCAACTTTTTTGCAATTTTCGACGTTTCGAAATCTCCCGAGTCCAAAAGAATAAAACTCTTGTAAATCATTATTGACTAATTGCCATACTTCTCCTCTATTATATATCAGCCGAAAGAGTGAAATATATGGTTCTAAGCCTATTCTTTTACGAAAAATGTTTACAAGAAAACAACTACAATAATACCTTAATTACACATTCCAAATAATTCATCTTTCTTAAGTCTTCTGTATTTATCATCCTATTTTTCTCATCAGCGAAAATCCCTTTCAATTCCTCAAACACCTTTTCTTGAATGTCTTGATGCAATCCTAAAAGATATAAAGTCCATCCGATACCCACGGTTACGGTATGGAATCCCTAATTTGAAAATTAGAAAAGCGTAAAAATAAAGGAAAAGATTTATAACTTTTTCGTTCGAAGTGAATATTATTATTTACATCAATCATAAATGTGTCGACTTCCTCTTTGACATCTTTTTCAGAAAGAGTTTTGTCTGTCAGGTGATGAAATAGAAGCAAATCCAGAAAAACTCTCTTCTTTTTTATTCCTAAAGTATTTTTTTCTACTTGAAAATCATCCATGTGTTGATTTCGTTTGATTAATTCTTTTCTTTCTTTGATTACCTGAAAAATAATTAGAAAATTAAATTTTATCGATTCGATAGAGTGAATCGCAGACTTACCTTTAAGTGGAGTTAATGGACTATTTTTCTATACTTTTTGTTGATTTCTATTAATGGGTTGAAGTAAGAGAAAGGACGAAACCAAAACCAAGGTTGCATAAGAAAATCAGCAAAATTCGATGCAAACCTATATTTTAAAATGTAAATAAAAATTGTAAGGAATTTTTAAACTGTTTTCCTTCTAAGACGATTAATTGAAAAAGCCTATATTGTTATGCTCATAGAGGGTGGAAGTGGTCCCACGATGAGGTATGAAGTGCTACGAATCTAGGCAAATATCCAGAAAACTCTATAATCCATGGGTTTTATCGATATATTGCAGCAGTGGCCAAATCTTTCTGAAATAGAATCTTTATATCGTGTATCACAAATATGTCAATATCATTCTATATTGTAGCAGTCTTTTATATATTACTGTGTGAACCGACGGTGTAGAGCGCCGAGCTTGTACCCACTTATCGGCTTCTTTGTGAGGGATTGTCTATGTGGTAAACGAGTAGGAGTTGTGCGAGGTCGTGACAAGGTGTCGGCCGTACTCAAGGAGGACACATAATTAACCATAACATATCATATTTAATAAACTATAAAATAATAGAAAGCGACTACAAAAATGAATAGATACAAAAGATGAAAATAGTCAAAACTTTTAGGTCGCGACAATGATTACTTCGTTCTTGTCGATAGACCGTCTAAGTTCTGGATCTTTATCTGTCCCAATATTCTCTAAGTTAACTTAACCGTAATCTAGCTTAAAACTGAGACGTGAGACCCGAGAGAGAGAGAGAGAGTTTACAAAATAGTTTAAAATAATACCTCTTGGTTACCGATCTCTTCATACGGCGCACAGTGGGTTGAGACGATTGTAGGAGGACAAAAGTAAAAAAATACATAACTGATAATGATCCTTACGTATTTATGTATTGATAAAAAACATTCCAGTGAGTCAATTCCTACCGATAATTTTTAAAATACACCCCATGGCTTTGCTTAACAACAAATAAAAATGCATCAGTTTTATATCTGGTTGGAATCATAACGTTAGTGTCGTGTTCGAACTTATTTTGAATAGTTATTTCGCTGGCTGTTTTAAGTGTTTTTATCCAATATTAAGATGAATACTAATCGCCAAAATATGTATTTTAATATGTATATTACATTAATAATAGTCAATGAGGGAAATTTATATAAAACAATCGCAAATTCAAGGGATTTTTACACTTAATTTTAAATAAGTAAAACTTTAAAACTTCTCCATTTTTTCGTATGTCTTTGTACGTTTTAATTTCATTTTCTCCGGAGTTTTGAAAATTTTATAATTATGTCTAACAGATATTTGTGTGCGGAAACGCGCGGATTTTGACGTATAACCATTTTTTCTTTCACAGTCAGCGGGACTCAGGCTCGTAGTCAGCGGAAGTGAACTTTTTGAAAAACTAAGAGAAAAAAATAAAATGATAAGCGGGTCATTCGAAGTAAAAAATATTATCGTAGACTACATTAAAAAAAAGTCCAGTTTAACAAATCCTAGTCGAGTTAGTGGAAAATGAGTTACGTCGAATTACTTGTTCTTTTTCCGTTGGTCTAAGTCAAAGATGGAAGAAACGTAATCGAAATATCAAACATTTTTCAAACAAAAATCGGTTATGGCACAATGATTAGGCAATTATTGAACATGTCGATTTGCCACAAACTAGTGCAAGCTGTAAAACACCACAAAAACAAATAATGGCCATCCAGCCAAATGAACGATCTACCTAATATTGAAATGAGGCAATGTAATGAAGAAACTTTTTCATTTGGTCTATCGACTCTTCCTTGTCACATAAGATTCATGGAATGCGTTCTTCGCATAGCGTATCGAATGGATATTAAAAAATGGCAAGTGCGCGAGACCGAAGAGAATGAGTCAGTATCAACAAGAAAGAAAAATATTAACAGATTTAGAACCGAAACTGGTTTACTTCTGGATACTCCCAAGCAAGGTGGTGGAAACACCAACGACAGTAATTCGGCAAGATTCTTTTCGAATGCCACTCTTATTGCAGAGATAACCGGTGTTAACAAGAACCTAATAGAACGATTTTCGGTTATATTACAAGCGCTGGCATCGGCTACGAAATTGATACGAGCAAATTCGAAATCTACACGAAGGAAACAGAGGAGTTATACGTGACGCTTTATCATTGGTATCCCGTGCCAGTCACTCTTCACAAAGTTTTAATACGCGGATCAAAAATTCGTTTCTAGTTTCAATAGGACAATTGTCCGAAGAAGTGCAAGAAACTAGACACAAGTAATTAAAAATATTTCGTGAAAGTTATTCCCAAAAAACCCATAGAATAAACACTAATACAGATATTTTACATGATCTTTTAATTTCTTCAGATCCTCTCATTACAAAACTTAGATCACTTCGTATAAGAAAACTCCGTTAACCGCTAACGTTTTAAAATTACTAAAAGCACCGAGCGTGACCGTAGTATAAGAGAAATCCGAGTCAAACTCCGAATGTGACTCCGATATGTAAATTTTTAGTTAATACGATATCTAAGTAAAAATTTTTATGATAAAAATGAATTGCACCAGCCTATATACTTAAGTCCTGCTAGAATCGTCTCACGACCCACTGTGCGGCGGCCGGATGGCCGAGCGGTCAAGGTGGCAGCCCACCGCTCTGGGAGACCCGGGCTCGAATCCGAACGGGTCGAAAAATCCCCAGAAATTTTTCGGGGGGTGGTCCGTTTGGATATGTCGGGCCCCGCCCCTCACCACCCGGCAGCCCGATTGTGGGCCTGGCCGAACCCATAATGGGCTTGCAAAAGAAGCCCTCTTAGTGCCCACAGGGCGGAAAGAGTAAAAAAAAAGAAAAAAAAATCTCTTCATACGGGAGGTTGGCGAATCTTCAAGCCTTTTTTTATACCCATCTTCGGGAGAGCTGACTAATGATAGGTATGATGCAACCCGTTTTAAGTTCGATTGCGTCCGGGTTTTGTTTATGTTAACTGTCAGAAATCGAACATTTCTTTAAATTTATTACCTCTTTCTATCCGTTACGATTACTCATTCTACCTCATAAATTTGATACCAGCTGTCAAACCAACTCAATTAATTGCTGGAGGTGACTAAGGTCAGTTTGTCTTGCAACCTTAGTAATAATTGTTCCTTATATGGTCATCTTGATCGGCTTTATCGTTCACAGAATCAGACAAAATAGTAAGTGTATGGGTTTTGTTTTTCCCTTTCTCATTTGACCTTTTGATCCGATTTCTGCGTCTTAAAAATTATATTCTTAAGTTATTTAATTAATTTTTTCTAATTATTCAATTTGTGTGTTTCACTCCCCCTTGTGAAGGCCCAACCGAGGTCCGAAATGATGTAAATCGCGGTATTCTTATGATTAAATAATAACGATAGATTAAATATAAGAGGGAGAGGAAAATCCCATAATTTAAACAACACGGCACGAAATGTAAACAACGAGTACCGGATTACTCTAACACGTGTTAAACGAACTGTCAATGTCAAAATAAAAAGTTATAAGTCAGACACAAGTGATCATAAACAGGTAGAACTTTGACCCAAGCGATCATAAACAATCAATCTAGGGAAACAATTTTGGAAAAGAGGGAAAGATTTAAGAGAAATAAATTATTGCGTATGATCGTTCGAATACCGAAATGACAGAAATCGCGAGTTACGAAGCTAAATTATCAACGCGAGTCTTGCTATTTTGTCAACAATCCCCAAGAACATTCGACAAAACGGCGTCGGCGTCGAACCTGGAATCGGACCTTTCCTGTGACACGAGTCGGTCTCGGTTTTCCCCAAAACAAGAGATACCAATCGAGAAGCGAGGAAGGGAACGAGGGGCCAATCAGAAGTCCGAATAGTAGAAGGAAAAACTATAAAAATCCGAAATTCAAGGTCGGGAGAGGCTCTCTTCCGTATTCCACGGATGGTCGTGACTTATATTGTGGTGTGCCGTCGCCAAGAAGTTTGGACTCCTCCGCTTCCTCCTTCCGATCGTCCGCCTTGCTCAGCGACCTCATCTCGTCCGCCCCAGGCCAGACAGACGCCGAAGTTCTCGCCTCTCCGCATCTTTGACGAGAAGAACCTAATGAAGGACTGTCGATTGTCGATGTAAGCATAAATGTTAACAAATAAACGGCTTTCTTGTGTAAAACACTTGTCATCATTTGCCTCCTCCTTCACGGCCCACATACAACATTCCCTTAGGTTCATCCTGACGCGGGATTAATAGATCTCACCTAGGAGATGGCAACCTTACACAGGTGCCGTGGAGTGGGTTTCAAGTCCCCTATCTCCACCAGGTCGGCTACCTTACACCCTTCAGAACTCACATTATGTTTAAAGCCCTACTCTATTTATTTATACACTAGTGGAATAGAAACAGTCGGACCTCTAATCTTAAATAATAATGGATTCAAAAATATAAGGAGTTCAAAACAAAGTCTAAAGGCGGCCATAGAGGTTAAGTTGATCCTTTGAGGCTGCCTGACCTTGAGGAACTTCAGAATTTCCTATCGCCCACACACGAAGAAGAAAATCTCTCAGCAGAGGCGTAGCTAAGATGGGGCAGGTAGGGCACGTGCCCCGGGCGTCACTCGCAGAGGGCGCGAAATGGTCTCCAAGACAAACGATTTGTTTCTGAAGGGGAGGGGAGGGGAGGGGAGGGGNATTTGTTATCTAATTGTCAGTGTGTGGCTTGTTGAGCCTTGTTTTTTTTCCTCTCTTTTTCTCTTTCTTCTACATTTTCTCTTCATAAATTTCACTTCCGGCCTTTGTTCTGTTGACCTCATCGTAATTGGTTGACCCAATGGTCCCATGGGTCACTAGAGAATAGGGGTGACACCGGATTGGTCAAAGGGGACTGGCGCCAGAGGAAAGGGAAAAAATCGTCATTCGAGAAGAGCTGGGAAGCAGAAGATAGAGATATCAAGGAATACGGAAAGAAGACCCACTAGCGTAGCGAGGGGGCAAGGGGACCTATTATGCCCCGGGCGCCACTCGCAGAGGGGCGCCAAATGGTCTCCAAGACAAACAAGATTTGTTTCGGGAGGGGAGGGGAGGGGAGGGGAGGGGAGGGGGCGCCAATATAGTGTCGTGCCCCGGGCGCCAGTTATGTTCGCTACGCCATTGTCTCTCAGTTAGTCAGTCAATCCGTCGGCCATGGCATCCGATGACGACATACTGGCTGTTTTTGGATGTCTATTGGCAACAAATTCTATTAAAACAAGCGGAAAAAAAGTATGCTTAGCAGTCTACAGTGTAAATAGTATTTGCAGTGGTTTGGGTAGCACTGATCACAAAATTCATTTTTCAAGAGAAATCTTGGTCTAGAGATTCTGTTAAAAAGCATCAATTATCAGCGAAAGATCAATGGCAAGTCGATTCTACTACCAAAAATTTCATAGATTAAATTTTATAGACGAATATATATTAATAATTCTCAATCACATGGAATATTAGTAGAAATTGTAAACATTATTATCGCATATTAAGTTTATAATTTAATAATTAAAAAGAATTTATTAAACTTTGTCTTATTTTAAGTTGTCATGTTTTAATTAACTTGGATATTAAAACAATAAACTTTTTGAAGTGTAAAAGAAAACGATATACAGTATCGAGATGTTTTATGAACATGGAAGAAATGAATTTAGAAGTTTTCTAAATATTAAAATTATTTATAGTCTAATTTTAATTTACTCGAGAAATTTTTGATCTGAAAATAATTTATAACCTGAAAAATTAATTTTTTAGGTTATAAATAATAAATGTTAATAAGGTTATAGAAAATAATTCTTCCAAACATTGACTAGACATTGTTTCAAACTACTCAGCGGCCTCACAACTGAATGACACGACGGCACACACGTTAAGGTCAACCTGCGCAGTCTGACACTGCTCAGGAAAATCAAACGGTTTTTCGATTCTACTCCGGTGGTCGATACACTTCCCCACACACTACCAGATATTACTCAAGGTCACGCATGCATGGGTAATCCTCAAAGGATTAACTTAACGTGTATGGCCGCCTTTAAATAAGGACAACCCCAAAGGCGGCCTAAGTTTTCTCAGTTTATTCAAATCCAATGGAATTCTATTTACAATAAAACAAATGATACTCTAAATTATTATATTATTAATATTAACTACTTTTTTAATATACCATAAGTGCCCATTATTAATAAAAACGTATTAAAAATTGATGATACTAATTCAATTATTGTGGACCCTTGACGCTTGGGGGCCAGGGCTTAAGCCTTATCCGTCTCTGTAAATTCGCCCCCGAAAACCTGGCCCAGAAAGCAAAGGAATTTACATTTTCGTTTCCTTAGTACCGTTTCTCGAAAGGCGTGTCCTCGAATACCTTTCGGGCAAGGTGACATATCAATACTATATAATTAATTTCTGATTAATTAAGTCATATTGACGAAATTTACTTGTAATAATAGTCACTTACCGTTCAACGGCTTGTACATATTCGGTGTTGGAATCATCTTGAGCGTTTACATGAATCCCCATCGCCGACTCTGTCAAACAAAATCAAATATATCCCATTGTTTACAGAAATATAATCACTGAAATATAATCTCACCCGTAATTACATCCAGAGTGCAACGTGAAGTTAATTGAATTATATCAAACACCTCGGATTCACGTTTATTTTCTAACTTCTGAACTAAAGTTTCCGACTTTCTATAAAAGATTTCTTGGAAATCTTCGAGAATTCGAAAGTGAAATGCAGGATTTAACATCTTCCGTCGTGCCTTCCATTTTTTGTATGAACTAATTTTAAAAACAAAAAATTAGTAGTATTTATAAAACACTTGAAAGTTTTAGAAAACAACGAAATATTACTTAATAAAAATTTTAAAAATAACTTTTTGGCTCTTATTACCTAGTAATGAGTCCTGTTCCGATTAAAGAATGTAAGCCATTATATAATCTATGTTTGTTAATCGTATTATAACTTTTCAATACTTCCTGCAAGCAAATAAACGAGTTATTACTTTAAATACAGGCATTTGTGCAGAATAAATAAAAGAACTACTTCCTACTTCAATTGTTTCGGGACGAGAAAACAGAAAATAATTACTTCCGTTGAAAGAAATTTTTATCGCTTTTTCCTTTGGATTTATCAAGCAAAATCCTTCTAACGTTTGAAGAAGATCTTTAACAACACAAAATAAATCAACGTCAATTCAGAAATTATATTTTATAATTATTATTTGATTAATTATTTAAATCAACTTACACACGTCAATAAACTTTTTATAGTTTAGTGCTTTACTAGGACAAAAGATTAAATTCCATAATAATTGATACGTGAGGAATCTGAAATGTGTTTGTCTTCCTTCATTCACTTTTGTCTGGCATCTCCAGCTCTTAACCGAGAGGTAAACAAAGATTAAAAACACTGCGACTAATGCAAATACGAATTGCTTTTCGAACAATATTTCCATTTTCGTTCTTGTTGCTGTTATATTATAACAATTTCTTAATCACCAATTGCGAATAATTAACAATTAAATGCATTAAAGCTTAAATAATTAAAATGTTACATATTTTAAAAACTTTAATTTTATTTTAATAATCTAAATTGACAAAATGATTCAGTAGACTTATATTAGCTTACACTCGGTGCATATTCTAAATATATAGCTGGAAACAAGCTGTGTAATAAGCATTTTAAGTTGTGCAGTGGGAATCCTATATTTAGCAGTAATTAATTATAAATATTTTATTCTGTTTATGTTAAAGTGAAAAACAGAAAGATAAGAAAAATAAAAACGAAAAAATGACTTTCTAATAAATATAGAAACCATCAGTCGATTAAGTTTTATGGCAGACATTTTATATGTGTTTAGTAGATATCAAAAGAATCTGCAAAGTAATACTAGAAATTAAAAAAGAAAGAAAATTAATTTATTAAAGCAACGTATGTATGTACTTTTATGAGGTTGGATCAATGCTCTTCGCCCACCATCAGATTAGTAGTAATACAGAAAACGAAAAAATAACACTGAAAGGAATCATGATTAAAATACGCTTGACAAAAGGGACAGACGTGGTCAACTTTTCGAGCATTCAAGAATACAGAGAATTGTTTTAATGCTATTATACTGAGTATTTTATTGAAAAACGAAACTGAGTTCTATGTCGTAGGTTTTATTGTTTCAGATTGATACAAAACACGTATATGCTGACCTGCTTGTAACGTTATGTCTAAAGCAGTTTAAAAGCCATTTATCAATCCATGAGGTGTGATATTTAGTCCACGAAAAAGAAAGGATTCTATTTGCGGCTCTTATTTAAAATGTGGAAATTTGTTTCATTTTCTTATTTTGATGTAATTATTATTACCTTATTAGAGTTATGTCATTACTTCACTGTGGCTCTATTATTTAGGAACAGACTGCATTTGTAAAATCTCACGTTTAGTGGCGTGTAGGTGCTTTAAACTTACAACAGGCAAACTTACAATAGACCCATAGACTTTTGAAGCGAATGTTGACTTCTCATAGTCCACTGTCTCAACTGGCATAATGAGAAAGGTGTCAACACGAAAAATTTTAAACAGAGGAAAACTAAATAATTGCAATTAAAGTAATTTCTATCAACCGAACACTTAACATTGCTCCACGGGACCGCAAATTTACTACGAATTAATGGGGTTTCTTGTATCAGATAATGTCATAATAGACTTTGGCCTTAGGAGTGCCTTCGAAGTAACATCAAAGAAACAAAAGATCGTTGATAGAAAGCGGGAAATACTATTTCAATATTGATGTATAGAAACGTGTAGCAAACGATGTCAAGAATATTATACTACAGATTCACCCTCTTTCATCAGTCGCGCAAATATTAGAACATTCGTACCAATGCACAACTATTTTGAAAAATTTCTTTTTCTTACAAAAGAAAAGAATAATTTATGTTTTAAGGCCTAGTTGCAGAGACTGTATAATACATTTCATAAAGATAAATAAATCTGTAAAATATAAAACTAAATTCACTTCTTACTTACGTACACACTTTTGTTTTTGTAATTCTTTTAATACTATTGATGAATATGTATATCTTCGTTAGAATGCTGCATATATATCCTCGTTAACATAACTAGTGAAAGCTATTTTCTATCTTAAAAATAAATCTCTCTTTTAGAGAACAAGGATTTTATTTGATAATATTCTATAAGCTTGAAACAAATGAGAATTCAATTATTTTCTCTTCTCTGAAGGTCAATCGACGAGTGATCAGTCAGGCTTGACTATTAACACGCAAATTATTTTAAAAATAATCTTTAAATCAAGGAAAACTTTAACACATATTCGTCTGAATGCAAATATGCAAATTAGCACGAATATAACAAAAATTGCGAGGGCTGTTCAATGGATGAGGCCACTGTGTCAACTGTCAAAAATAGAAATGTCTTAGAAATGTGGGAAATTTTCAACAGAAAAAACAATAAATAAATCAGATGAAGTCGTGTATATCTACTCTAAACTTTATAAATAGCTGATTCAATACTGGCAGAGGTAGAAGTGCTGTCATTTTTGTACAGCGGAATACTTTATAATGTGTTCAACATTGCTTGCCTTTTCTTTTGAAACTCGATATATCTTGGGAAGTAAAAGTGCATAAGTCGGTGAGACAAATCGGTTCGTTTCGAAATATAAAATCTTGTAATAAAATATTTTAACCGGGATATAATTAAAAACTTCAAAAATTAACAAATAAATTGTTTCTTGGACCTAACTGTATGTGTCCTTTTTAGTTATCCTTTCGAACTCCTTCAAGAAATACAGAATTCACCACCGAAGATAATCCTTTTTTTGAGGCTACTATTTTTGACCGAATGCCTTTTGAGATTCTCGTCATTAATTATTCGAGTTGTGGAATTAATCTTTCGAAATTTCTGCTGTTTTTAATTATTTTTCTATAAACAAAGATTAATTGTTATCAGAAAATTTTTCCTTTAGATTGAAAAAGTTTTTCATATTCTATTGTTTAAACGAATGCATTGATTGCCTTACATTCATTTTTTTTTCAATTTCTTGGTATACTTTGAAAATTCAGTCGAAATATTTCCTTGAAAAGAGGAAAAATATGAACATTTACTGGTAACTGGTATTAATGTAAATATTTTGCCTTAAACAGGAAAGTTGTATAAAGTATTATTTTATAGAAATATGAATTTGTTTCGAGTATACAGGTATATAAAATGAAAAAGAAATCAATCTTAAAAGTACAAAAATAAAAAGTGTATGCAGGTGACAGTAAGCCCGACTTCCATTCGTTAAATACGTTGAATTCGCGAGTCCCCATTCAAAATGAACATCATTCACCCTTCATTTTATGTTCTTTTTGTACACAACAAGTGCATGCATTTCCACGCAAACTTTCCTCACTCGTTGCCATTAGCTCGTCCTAAAGTATTTATACGGATCGACTCCGATGTTGGAATTAGCCTAATTACAAAAAAATTACAAGATTTGTTTATTGTGGACAAGGCTTTAGAAATAGCTACATCTGATAATTTGCGAAAAATAGATCCATTGATGGTGGAATTGTCTATTAAAGATATCTAAAATTTTACTAGGTAATTTCTGAGAAAAAAAAATATAGATATAAATAAACGTAGTAAGAAAGTACAGTATATATTTTTTATTTTTGGGGGTATATCCAGAACGAATTAATTAAATTCCCAATAAAACTTATGGTAAATCGATAATCGGTTAATGAACAAAGTCTTGGAACAGATTAACAGTTTGTTAAGCGATCACCTATTGTATTTCAAATTTTACTAGGTATTTTCTGAGAAAAAAAAACAAACGGTTTCTCCTATTTCTGCTCGATTCACAAACACAGATATGGTGTTAAAATAAAATTTGGGATAGAGATCGATGTAAATTGAGAGCAGTTGCAAACTCCATTGGCACATGGTGCGTATGACCAGTTTAAATAGGCAACGGCTCACAGACTTTACATGGCAAATTTATAAAAATAGATTTATTGATGGTGGAATTGTAAATTGAAGATATTTCGAATTTTACTAGCTCAATGACTAAAGTTTCATAGGTTCTAAATAGTAAGGTTTGCCGTATGGGGCATTACTGATAGAGTTCGTGCAATGTCTTTTGATACAACAAGCTCTAACACTGGCATGATTGCTGACGCCTGCGTCCTCCTAGAACAGAAGCTTGGTAAAGAGTTGATATGCACTCCTAGCATGCATGCATCATGTAATAAAGCTGATCATTGGTGCAGTATTTGAAGCTGTCTGGATCGACATCGTCACCGGAAGTTCCTCTTTTAAGCGATTTCAACGTCATTGGCAGTTAATTTATGAATAGAAATATGAACCAGGCTTTGTAAATAACACAATATTGAGATCACTGCAAGACATCAACGATGGTGTTGTTGAGTTTGCAAACAGCTACCTGTAAAACAATCTGCCAAGAATGACTACAGAGAATTCACTGACCTGATTATTATTCTTGATTCAATTCCACAGAGAGGGGTCCGATTTACGGCACGTGAGCTATGCATCATGCTCGCTGCCTCTCAAAGATATTTTACAATATGAAAGTGTGGTTGTTTAGGGGCCAGTTCCACTTAACAAAAAAAGAAAAGAAGGAACTACAGAATGTGTGTGTCTTTGCTGCACGTGTGCACTTGAAAATATGGATTTCAGCTCCATTGGCAGCCAGTGCTCCTAACACTGACCCTCATCTTCTGAAATCACTTCTTGAATACTCGGCAATCAACACGACAATATCTAAGGTAGAATCTCTCACACTTTCTAAACACTTATGGTATTTGTTGCCAGGTTTGGTTGCTTCAGCTTTTTACGACAACAACGTAAGTTCTGCTACAAATAGACTAATGATTACAGCGATTAAAAATGACGATGACACTGAACAGGGTTACATTGAGCGAATCAGTGTTGACCGGGGCACATTCATGGGAAAAAATCTTGAAAACTGTACATGTGCGAAGTCACATACTCTGTTTTTAAATTAATTGAAACTTCCAGATACGTTCTCACAGTAGATCCTGACCTGTGGAAAGATAGAGAGAAAACTACTAAAAGAATACAGAGTCAGTACATGTCATTAAAGTGCAACTATGAGTGTTCACGTTATGACTTAGATGAGTGCGACCATGCAGAACGCATGATCGCATTCATCTAGGAATTCACTGGCCTAAAAACTCATGATGATTTACGAGTTCAGTATTTGCTGCAAGTTGTTCATCAGCACCGTTAGGCTACTCCGGACAGCAAGAAGAAAAAATCTCTGCCTCTACGAAAACACTGATAAAGTTCTATTAAATGTTGTACTGAAAATTTCAAATTTTGTGAATTGTGATGTTTAAAAATATTTTCGTTGCATTTTTGGTTTGTAATCCATCAAGTTATTGAATATTGTAGAGTCTATACGACTATTTAATTTATCTATAATTGTCTACAAAAGTGAAACAAGTCTGGTTTACCAAAACAGGTCTTGTATGTTTTAATTTGTCATAAATCACTCTTTTTATAAACTTTGTGGTCATTGAGCTACCTCTAAATATTAATTTATCAAGTCCAAATTTTTTCTGTAGTAATTTGAAACCATAGTTGGAAGAGTTCTGGAGGGTAGGACCACAAAAAAGTAAGCGATTAATTTTTTCCTATTTTAAGCATCACACTAATTGTTACGTTTATCGCGATACTCGGATGGTACGAAATGGCACAGTTTCATTGATTAAGTAGACAGCATATTTTCTAATGGTAGCTCTAACAAATTGTTCCATACACGACCGAATATGAAACGGTAATCTGCCAACTAATCAAATTTTGTGAGTAATGGACCAAATATTTAAACTCGGCACCATGGAAAACTACTTAATTTCCTATTCGAATGCCACGATACCGCTGGGTCCTATAGAAAGAAGAGTGTTGTTGAACGGGGTCGAAGTAATTCGACTGAAAATAGTCGTTAACCTCCTCCTGGAAGAGAGAATGCTCAACGACTACTAAGTAATACCGGTCTACTATTAATATTTGAAAAGTGATTCGTTTTAGACAGTTTGTGGACCCCGTATGTGACCAAAGTGGCTAATTTTAACGTCGAAATGCATTCATATGACTTGTCAAAATGCAAGAATAATTGATTTTATATGATAATAAAGTTTTAAAATTTTGGCAACAGATTGAATAAAATACGTGAGAAGTATGTTCTCGTAAATACTGCGATTATACAAAATTATTGAGCTGAAATTTGAATAATCATAGATTTTACGATTTTTCAAATTTCAGCCCAAACGTTTACGTCTTCAAACTGTAAATTATTTTTGAGTACCAGCGAGCATTGATGCATAGCTCAGGTGTCATAAATCGGACCCCTCGCTGTGGGATCGAATCAAAAAAGATAAGTTCAGTGAATTCTCTCTAGTCATTTTTGGCAGACAGTTTTACAGGTAGCTGTTTGCAAACTTAACAACACCATTTTTGATGTCTTGCAGTGATCTCGGTACTGTGTTATTTGCAAAGCCTGGTTCATATTTCTATTCATAAATTAACTGGCAATGACGCTAAAATCGCTTAAGAGAGGAACTTCCGGTGACGATGTCGATCCAGACAGCTTCAAACACTGCACCAATGATCAGCTCCATTACATTATGCATGCATGCTAGGAGTGCATACCAACTCTTAACCAAGTTTCTGTTCTAGGAGGACGCAGGCGTCAGCAATCAGGCCAGTGTTGGAGCTTGTTGTATCAAAAGACATTGCACGAACTCTATCAGTAATGCCCCTTATGGCAAACCTTACTATTTAGAACTTATGAAACTTCAGTGACATTGAGCTGTCAGTTAATATTCACCAATCAAGTGGATTTTTGGCAGGAATTTTTTCTATATATATTTGAACGGAAATACAGGGTAAGAGGTCGAAATTTGCCATGTAAAGTCTGTGAGCCGATTGCCTATTTAAACTGGTCACACGCACCATGCGCCAATGGAGTTTGCGACTGCCCTCAATTTACATCGCATCATCATCACAAATTTTATTTTAACACCATATCTGTGTTTGTGAATCGAGCAGAAATAGGAGGAACAGCTTGTTTCTTTTTCCAGAAAATACCTAGTAAAATTTGAATTATCTTCAATAGTCAATTCCACCATCAATAAATCTATTTTTGGCAAATTATCAGATGTAGAAACTTTTAAACCCAGGTCCACGATAAACAAATCTGTAATAATTTGTAATTAGGTTAATGCCAACATCGGAGTCGATCCGTATAAATATTTGAGGACGAGGTAATGGCAACGAGTGAGGAAAGTTTGAGTGGATATGCATGCAGTTGTGTTGTACAGTGAATGTGCACTTGTTGTGTACAGTGTAATTTTTATAGCATGATATGATATAATAATACGTTGGAAGAAATACATAAAATGTTGGGTGAATGAGGTTCATTACGGATGACGGTCTGCGAATTCAACGTATTTAACAAAAGGGAATCGGGTTTACTGTCACCTGCATACACTTTTTGTTTTGTATTTTTAAGATTGATTTTTTATTCTATATACCTGTAAACTTGAGTCATATTTCTATAAAATAATAGTTTATACAACTTTCCTGTTTAAGACAAATATTACATTAATTAATACCAGTTATCAGTAAATGTTGACATTTTTCCTCTTTTCAAAGAAATATTTTGACTGAATTTTCTAAGTAAACCAGGAAAATGAAAACAATATGAATGTAAGACAATTAATGCATTCGTTTAAACCAGTGGTTCGCAATTACTTTTTCCTGCGTACCACTTCAAGAAAGAGCTCAAACTCGCGTACCCCTTATAGCAGAAATTAATATTAGTCGATACTAATATAAATTCATAGATAATTCTGTATGTCTGTCTGTTACCTTTTCACGTCTAAACTGCCGAACAGGTTTTAATAAAATATGGCACAGAGATAGCTTACACGTTGGAGATGGATATAGGCTACATTTTACTGCGAGAAAATATCTTACTCCCTCGAGAAAATTCGATATAACGCGGGCGAAGCCGTGGGTAGACAGCTAGTGATAAAAAAATAAGTTTTGTTTTACATTTATTACCTTTAAAATACGATTCTAATAATAATGAAAATAACATAAGGTTATTTAATTTTAATGCGACAAATGTGCACGATTTTCTTTGCGCAACTTTGTAAAATCTGGTTGGTTTTTGGTCAGCTTCAGTCTCTAGTCATTTTCGAGTCGAAGTCGGTGACGATTCATGTTTATCACGGCCGAAAATCCTCTCTCGCAGAAATATGTCGTGCAAAATGGTAGAAAAAATTTTATTGCCGCTTCGCTGACACGATAATAATGATAACTGTACAATTTTTGTTTCTTGCATAAGAATTTCATTTAGGTATCGTCACAAATGCATTTTTTTGATGAAATTTCGAGAATATTTTTAGTTATACATAAACGAATTTGCGCATTCGACATCGTGTTGAAAATTTCCGAATTTTTGATGGTCCACCCATTAAACAGGTCTGCAAGTAAAATACTGCATAGGATTTTTATACATTTTCTTACGAATTTCAACTTGATAAAAACGAAAAAAATACGAAAAAAATTCCATTTCGTCAATTTATTTGTTACACTCAAGTTTTTGTTTGTATTTAGCGTAAAATTCCTAGTTAACTTAAAATTTACTATTCTTTTCTTTTTATTTAAAATATAGCCTTAAAACGAAGACTTCTCACATTAATTCTATCAATTATAACTGGACTTGGTAATAAATAAATAAAAATGTTAATGATTGAAGAGAGTAGTGGTAGGGGGAACTGGGTTAAGTAGTTTTAGCGTTAGGAGGAAGGTCGCATGATCGTATAGAAACAGGTTAAAAGTTGATAGTGAGTAATATTATTGGTGAGGTTGAGCATGTTTCGACATGTTTTCTGGGATACTAGGAATAAATATAAACAACTCGCTGTTGGATTAGATCGTGTTTCAACAAGCTAAATAAGTTCAGTATCTCGCTGGCCATCTAATGCCACACTCAGTTTATATCCAGCATTCGAACGCTACTGTGCTTGTATTTTTATTTCTGGAATATGGCTCGCAGAGGTTGTGTAATTTCTCCCGACAGCTTCTGTTATGTTTGTGGTGAATACACAGTGAAAAGTCAACAAAGAAACATAAGTGAGTTTGTGAAGAAAGTTTAATTTGCATATTTCAAATTGAAACTTGGAGATCGAGACAAAGCAGATTTCTGGAAACAATAGGAGAAAAGGAAAAAGAAGCATGGGACTCTTTCAAGAATGTAGTGCATAAGTTTTTGGGGAATACTAAGGACCCTGACTACAAAACCATTGTACAACGCATGCTGGCAGCAGCGTATGAATTTCGAGGATGCGAGATAGCTTAAAAGTTCATTTCTTACACTCCCATATTGACTATTTTCCCGAAAACTTGGGGCCTACAATGAAGAACAGAGTGAAAGATTTCACCAGGATGTCCATAATATCGAGAGACGTGAAAAGAAAAATTGGATGTCAATACGTTAGCTGACTACTGTTGAATGCTCAATCCAGAAGCCAGAGAAGGAAATTGGAAACGAGTTTGGAGAAGCATCAAAAAGAAGAAAAGGTTTCGTAAGAAAAAAGAGTAGACCTAAAATTGTGTATAAATATCAGAAACAATTTGTTGATTAGTTGTAAGAAAATATTTATTACAATGAACTAAATATATTATAAGAGTTTTATCAAAAATTTGTTTTTATTTTGCAAAAACCTTTACATGATGGGATGTAATGGAAGTTAGTTTTAGAATCTGTGATCTTTAAAACATATAATTTAGCAAAAATATTCCATGCAGCTGGAAAAAAATTTTTTTGAAGACCTGTGTTATTTATTTGATTGCTTTATCTCATGCATTTAAATTTTAAATCGACCGATTTTAGATTGCCACGCGTACCCCTTCACGCAATTTTGCGTACCCCCAAGGGTACGCGTACTACTAATTAAAAACCACTGGTTTAAACAATAGAATATGAAAAACTTTTTCAATCTAAAGAAAAACTTTTCTGATAACAATTAATCTTTGTTCATAGAAAAGTAATTAAAAACAGCAGAAATTTCGAGAGATTAATTTCACAACACGAATAATTAATGACGTTAATCTCAAAAGGCATTCGGTCAAAAATAGTAGCCTCAAAAAAGGATCGTCTCCGGTGATGAAGTTTTTATTTCTTGAAGGTGTTCGAAAGGATAACTAGAAAGGACACATACACTTAGGTCCAAGGACAAATTTATTTGTTAATTTTTAAAGTTTTTAATTATATCCCGGTTAAAATATTTTATTAGAAGATTTTATATTTCAAAAAGAACCTATTTGTGTCGATGACTTATGCACTTTAACTCTCTGCCCAAAGAAAATCGAGTTTCAAAAGAAAAGCAATGTTCAAAGCCATGCAATGTTGAAAACCTTATATAGTATTCCGCTGTACAAAAATGACAGTATTGTATGAACTATTTATAAAGTTTACAGTGGATACACACGACCTCATTTGATTTATTTATTGTTTTTTTCTATTGAAAATTACCCGTTCTGACACATTTCTAATTTTGCCAGTTGCGACAGTGGTCTCACCCATTCAACGGCCCTCGCAATTTTCGTTGTATTCGTGCTAATTTTCATTTCGACGAATATGTGTTAAAGTTTTCCTTAATTTAAGGATTATTTTAAAAATGAATTGCGTGTTATTAGTCAAGCCTGACTGACCACGCACCGATTAACCTTCAGAGAAGAGAAAATACTTGAAATCTCATTTCTTTCAAGATTATGGAATCTTATCAGATAAAATCCTCGTTCTCTAAAAGAGAGATTTATTTTTAAGATAGAAAATAGCCTTCACTTGTTATGTTAACGAGGATATATATGCAGCATCAACGGAAATTCTAACGAAGATAAATATACTGATCGATAGTATTGAAAGAATAACAAAAACAAAAGTCTGTACGTAAGTAAGAAGTTAATTTAGTTTTATATTTTTCACATTTATTTATCTTTATTAAATGTATTATACATTCTCCGCAGCTAAGCCTTAAAACAAAAATGATTCTTTTCTTTCTATAAGAAAAAGAAATTCCCTAAAATAGTTGTGCATTGGTACGAATATTTTATTGTTTGCGCGACTGTGGAAGAGGATGAATCTGTAGTATAATATTCGTGACATTTTTTGCTACACGTCACTATACACCAACATTGAAATAGCATTTCCTGCTTTCCATCAACAACCTTTCGTTACTTTGATGGCACCCCTAAGGCCAAAGTCTATCATGACGTTATCTGTTACAAGAAACCCCATTAATTCGTAGTAAATTTGCAGTTCCGTGGAGCAATGTTAAGTGTTCGGTTGATAGAAATTACATTAATTGCAATTATTTAGTTTTCTACTGTTGAAAATTACTCGTGTTGACACCTTTCTTATTTTCCCAGTTGAGACAATGGAATATGAGATTTTTGAAATTCGATCTATGAGTTTAGATATTGGAAGTCAAAATTCGATTTAAAAGTCTATGGATCTATTGTAAGTTTGCCTGTTGTAAGTTTAAAGCACCTACACGCCACTAAACGTGAGTTTTTACAAATACAGTCTGTTCCTAAATAATAGAGCCACAGTGAAGTAATGACATAACTCTAATAATAATCACATTGTTAAAGCCATACTTGTGTCAAAATCAACAGTATACAGAATTTTCAAATTATCTACAACATAAAAAAATGAAACA